AAGGCCTCCCTGAGGGCACTGAGACTGCCTCTGACATCCCAATATCTTTGACCCCCTTGCTAGCGGCTGCCATGGACCGCACTCGTCAGCAAATACAAGGCTTCCTAGTAAGTTGTGGTGTCAATGATCGTAAAGTCGATATGATTTTCTATGACTTCGCTCATTGGGTACCAGAAATTACAAGAGGGCTTGGAATTAAGTGCGTTAACTACGGCGTTGCTTGTGCTGCGATAACTGCGATGGCTATTGTGCCAGCACGAAACGTGCCCAAAGATAGGCCTGTGACTGAGGAAGATCTACGGGACCCACCTCCTGGGTACCCATCATCGACTGTGGTAATGCTTCCTGGTCGCGAAGTCCAGTCCTTGATGTTCATTACGATGCCGTATGGAGATGGGATCACTTTTTATGAGCGGCTCATGACCGCTAAGAAAGGATGTGACGCGATTTGCATCAGAACATGCAGAGAAGTGGAAGGTGTTTTTTGCGATTACCTGGAAGCACAGTATAAAAAGCCTGTGCTTTTAACTGGCCCTGTTTTGGGCGCGATGGACTCTAATAATAAGAACAAGAAGAAGAGTGAACAATTAGAAGACATCTGGGCTAATTGGTTTTCTGGGTTTGAAACAGAATCTGTGGTGTTTTGTGGATTTGGAAGCCAGTGGGTGCTTGAAAAGGACCAATTTCAAGAGCTTGTGTTAGGATTTGAGCTAACTGGGCTGCCATTTTTTGTAGCTCTAAAACCACCCGTGGGTTGTGCTACGATTGAAGAGGCATTGCCACAAGGGTTTGAAGAGAGAGTTAAAGGGAGAGGGGTGGTGTTTGGTGGTTGGGTGCAGCAGACATTGATTTTGAGCCACCCATCAGTTGGGTGCTTTGTGAGCCATTGTGGCTTTGGGGCATTGTGGGAGTCTTTGGTGAGTAACAATCAGATTGTGCTGGTTCCACACGGTGCTGACCATATATTAAACACCAAGATACTGGTTAAAGATCTCAAAGTTGCTGTGGAGGTAGAGAGAGAAGAAAATGGATGGTTTTCGAAAGAGAGCTTGAGCAAAGCCATTACAACCGTTATGGCTAAGGACAATGAAGTGGGTGTTATGGTGAAGAAGAACCATGCAAAGTGGAGGGAAACACTATCAACTCCCGGGTTTATGGATGGCTATATTGATAGGTTTGTTCAGAAGCTGAAAGAGCTTGTAAGTTAATTTTTAACTAGTCTCATTGTTGCTTCCTTCCTCCTTGTATTGAGTTGTCTTATATTTTAGTGTGTTCAATTTAACTAATATTGTTGGATGGAGCTCAATTTGATACATGGTCAATGATCTTTCAATCTGAACGCAAAATATTGAAGGTCAGATCACATCTTGAAGGTCACACAAGTGATTCATTTCGTTTTTAAGAAAGTGGGATTTGTACTTGTGCACCACATATATGAATCTTTTTTGGTTAAACCCCAACCACACATATATATGATCGTTCTAGTTATCTAAGAATGAGTACTCTAGTTATCCATTAGAGGTTTTGTGAAAATAATATAAAACTTAAGTGATGTTCGTGTAATTTTTGAAACCTGAAGAGGTTTTGTGAAAACACTCAAGGGGTGTTAGTGTAAATAATTCTTATCCATCTCTTAGTTTCATTGCAGTTATATGTAATTAGACTGTTTCCATTTCGTTCATGTTGTGTAAGAATGATCATTAAATACCAAAAAATTGAACATTTCATAACATTAGATTGCATTCAAGGATGATCCAGGATCCCTTTTCTTTTCTTTTTATTTTTTTATTTTTATTTTTATAGAATACTCCTAGAAATTTCTCCAAGTTCGAGTATTATTTATTTAATGCAGGACCATGAAAAATAGGATATTTTCATGTGATGAAAAAGACTAATTAAGTTACCCTTCAATGATTTTCATGAGATCGAGCAATGGGTATATGCCGGACCACATAGGTCCAAGAGTCTAGTTATCCACGTGCTCAAGTGTCACACAAAGTAAGGGAAATAGTTGTCGTTCTACTTAGATTCTCTCCTAGACTTCGATTTACAATACAAACAAACAAAGTTCACAACTATTAACCAAGGTATGCAACAATCTCACAATTTAAGCATGCATGTTGCTTTAAGTTCATAGCGGGTTCTAGTCAGTCCTATATGTTGAAATATCAAGGGACTTAACATGGGTTTATAAGAAGTTAGATTACTCCCTCGTTACTAATTAATTTTGAGCTAGAACCTTAATTTTTTTAATGGGATGAAAGCCTGTTATTCACGTATATTGGGGTGAAGAGAAAGCGCACCCTCTACTTTATAGCACGTGATCAATCTGTATAAACAAAAGTCATGGGCCACATTTGCCTACAGGATAGAGGGTGAGTGATGGAAGTTGATAGCTCTTAACCACATTAACCACATATTGTTATGAGGACAAGATATAGAGAGTGAGTGGTGGTAGTTGATAGCTCTTAAACACATATTGTTCTGGCACACTTTTGGATGACCTGATCTTAAACGTTAAGCTACTCTTAAAAAGCTCAAGGTTGTTTTGTTAAGTAGAAACGGAAGAAAATGCATGGGCGTTTTTCAAAGGAGAGCTTGGAAAAAGCTTATATTAAAGCTGTGACAGATTAAACAGTGAGATATTATTACGTTGAAGCATAAACATATTATCTATCAAATGCTATAATTTGAGACAATATTTAGTCACATTATGCCAACATCGGAATTATGCGAACATCGGAACATATTACATGATGTTATGGTCACATAGAAAAATTTCTCCTAGGTTTATGAGTCACAATTATTTCAATTATTGCATGTATGTGTCTGAGTCATGAGAGGGAGCACAAAATTATAGCCACATGCATATTATACGTTCTTTGAGATCTTGGATCAAACGAGAAGAAATACAGGCATACAAGAGCTAGCACAAAAGTTAATCAAATGGCGCAGCCCAATCAGAGCTCAAAGAATTTTCACATAGCCTTGTTCCCATGGTTTGCAATGGGACACATCACCCCTTTCCTCCACCTCTCTAACGAGCTCCTCGCCAGAGGCCATAGGATCTCTTCCTTAGTGCCCAAAAAAGCTCGAACTTGAGCTTCAACATCTCAATCTCCACCCAAATCTCATTACCTTCCATACAATCACTGTTCCTCACGTTGAAGGCCTCCCTGAGGGCACTGAGATTGCCTCCGATATCCCAACATCCATGTTGCTCTCTATTTCCATGGACCTCACCCGTGACCAAATCCAATGGTTCCTAAAAAAGCAGTGTTGTTGACTAGTGTTTTCAAAGGCATGCTTAAGCATGCGTCGGAGCGAGGCAGAGGGAAATCGCCTTAGGCATACAACTGTTTAGCTTATTGCACGGTTAGCGTAACGAGGCGTGGTGAGGCGTGGCAAGGCGTGCGTGGCGAGGCGCAGTGAGGTGCAAAGAAGCGCCTCTGTCTGCAAGCCAGGCGCGAGGAAGAAGACGATCTGGCTTGAAATGTTTTTGTTAGGGTTTGTTTTAATCAAACAGCGTCGTTTCATCTAGCTAGGTGTTTTTTTTAACTGAGGTGACTTAAATGCACGTTTTGGTTTATATTTTTCAAACAAACACCATGCCTTTTAAGCCCCCATTGAAACAAATTCATAATGCGATAATCTTCATCAATTTTAATTCTCTCCATAACTTGAAGCGTCACTCTCTTTCAGTATGCAATTCTCTTTGTACAAGATTCACATATATATATATATATATTTTCCAAACAACACAATATCCATAAAAATTCACTAAAAATAACACTCAAGTCCACATATAAATTGCGAAAATCATAGCATTTTATGTTTCATGATGAGGAGTGCGATACATGAATTGAGTTTTTCTTTTGATGTTGAATAAGTATTTTATGTTTTGAGATTGATTATTATGCTTGATGACATTTAGTACTTATATTTTTTAGAGAATATTCTAGCTTAATAAGAATTAGTAGTACAGTTAATCTATATTGTATTATTTATATCTTTTTTATTAAAATAAATTAATGTTCGCAAGGCTTACGCCTCAATGCTTTAAGGCTTACACCTCGCATAGCAGACTAAAAACGCCTCGCCTCTACGCCTTGCCTTTTAAAACATTAGTAGAGAGAATAAAATGGATGGTTTTCAAAGGAGAACTTGAGCAAAGCCGTTACAACTGTTATGGATAGACAATGAGGTGGGTGTTATGGTGAAGAAGAACCATGCAAAGTGGAGGAAAATCCTATCCGACCCAGGGCTTAAGAGTGGCTATATTGATAAGCTTGTCCAGGATCTGACTGTAATAATGGGAAATAACTTTCGCTCATTGCACCAAGAAAAAGCTTTGTATTGTTGTTATATGTGCTACAATACAATAAGGGAATAAAAGGTGATTTTCAGTACTGTTAATAGTGCTGATATGTTAATGTTTGGGTTCTAACCATAACATTTCTAATTTTCATCTATGTAGCTCAAGAGATTAAGAACACCAATTTTTTTGTTTTAATTGAGTGGTCAAATAGATTCGGATTCAAGTAATTGAAATACAATACGAGGTGAACTCTACAAGAGTGTCTCTCAAATAAACTTATTTGATGGTGGTGATTAGAGGTGAGCATTTGAACAGAGTAGTATATTCTTCATTGAAGATTTTTGCGATATTTCATAATCAAAATTAACAACAAAAGAATATATCAACGGTAAATTGTATCTTTATTCACTATTATGTATCTCAGAGTCAATGTATTGTGGGAAATAAACATATAAATTTTATTATATATATTATCCAAATAGCTAGATGAGAGTGGATCCAAAGTTGTAAATGTTGATTCACCTTATGGAATTAAAGTTTGTGGGAGAAATCCAGTAAAAACTTCCAGGACATTTTTGGATCATATGTTTGTTTGATTGGGCATATGATGATCAGTCTTGTCTGAGACTATTTTGAATAATATATTTATCCCAAAAACATCTTAAATACCTTATATTACATATTTTTTTAAAGAAAAACTTATTGTTAAGTGTTCGTAACAAAACCACATAATTCGCAGGTCCAACTATAACTATGAGAAAATGAATGAAAGAATAGTGTCCAAATGTGCTAATTACAGGGAGATTAGCTCCTCAAGGAGAATCAAAACTCCAAAAGGAACTTGCAGAAAAGTTTAGACCTACCAAGCCAATAACTATTAATTTCATTTTCAACGACTCGATAAAATTTTCACATCTAAATTCCGCAACGGCACAAAACTTTGCCACGAGGTAAGCAAATCCAAGCTGCGAAATGATCAAATCAATGAAAAGGCTGCTTGCTCATTAGTATCAACTCTATAAGCGAACAGAGGCACAGGGTCTCGAATTTACAGTGAAAAGAAACATCCTTGTCAGGATCCATATGAACCAGTACACCATCTCTGAAAATAAAGTTTGAATCAAGCCTGAGATGAGCATTCGAGGAAGCATTTTCTTTTGTTGGGGTGCTCTCGCTGATGGTGTGGCATCTGCATTCCACTGGCAAAAGACTTTTATTTCCTGAAGTTTTGCAATGGCATGTAATTGTTTCCGGCCATTCAAACCTCTCATTATTTCCGTCTCTCATTTTATCATCCAATAAGTTGCTGGAACCTCCAGAAACATTCATTCTTCTAACTGCTGCAAGAAGATCCACAGACACTGATGCAACAATATCATGAACATCCTCTGCAGTCCATAGGCTCCTATTTGATCCCCATTTGTGAATAAGAATTTTCTGTGTCAAACTGCGGAGGGTATCTAGACATGTAGGGCAACAACGATACAAGCATAGAACCCCAGACTCGCTAGAGAGACTTGTTTTGCTCAAGATTTCAACATCCATAATATGCTTATCAGCATCACACTTGACATCATTCTGTCCAATACCAGCATCCACTGAGGACAAACCATTAAGCTCATTGCAGATGGTACTAGAACTACAGAGCTTAACGCAGCCAAATTCTTCACAGGTACAACCATCCTCAGAAATGACAACAGATTCAGCGCATTCAAATCCATTTGAATGTTTCAAGGATCCAGAATCGCCATTCCCAACTACATGGTTCTTGTCCTTTTCTGGCTCATGTGGTTTAGGGCTTGTCCCATTTTGGTCATTCAAAATTCCGTCTGAATCAAGAAGAGATTTATCCAGAGTAGAGTTCATTACGACGATTTTCTGGCCAGACAAATCAGAAATTTCAAGTCTACCCTCAGAATTAGGATGACTCAAATCACCATATTCTTCATTTAAGTCAACACTACCAACTTTTTCATTATCAAATCCTTGGGGGTCAATTTCTGGCACTTTAAGCCCATCGGAGCATTTGCTAGTACCATTTGGCTTGGGTTCCTCACTTTGAACTTGATCGTCCGCATGGTGATCATCTGGGGGTCTCACATCGGTTAGCTTAGCATTTTCCATTTTCATTGGAGCATCCACCTCTAAACTGAAATGGGAGCAATCATTGTTAGTTAACAACCCATGAAAAGCAAAATTAAAATAAGTAAATAAATAAATAATTCCACAACCACACTAATGGCAGTATAAGCATTACCTGTGCAGTGTGTAAGCCCAGCTATTAACCATGTCTTCCAGATAGGCCACTTGCGATAAAAGGCGAACATATTGATATCTATCTTTCCCACCCTGGATCTTTGCATTGATCTGTAAAACTAGAAGCTCAAGAACCTTCCGTATCTCAAAGGAGACTTCTCTGAGTGATGTGTAGACACCTCTGTATGCCGACAAACCGACAGCAATCAGGCCTCTAACTAGAACAAAATTTTCTTTGCTTTTAATGTTACTGGAGCTACAACCAACAGCTACCTTTTCAATTGAGTTATTAGGACGAGCTATACAAGAATTGAATGGCCAGCCCTTCCAAGGTCCACTTATGTCAGCAGAGGGACCTTCTTTGAGTTTTGAAGTAAACCAACAAAGCTCAGCAAAATGAGGATATCGCAGAATCTGATATCCAAATGAAGATATTGCTAGCAGCAAGCTTGATTTCCCTTTCACTGTTCTATTAGGTGGTGGATGAGCTTTAAGAAGAGACTCATCAGGACCCTGTTTTACACTGTTGTTTGCATCAGCTGATCCATGATCTAGACTGTGATTAACCATCTCTGATTGACCTTCTAATGTACCAAAAGTTTTATAATCCTGGCAAGAGCTTGTATGGATGTGGGACGTTTGATGAATTAACAGAACAACCTGTTGAACTATATCTCTTAATAACTCTTCTGCAGATAGATTGATCACCAAATCATGGTTGAAATCTCCATTGACCTGCACTGAAAATCGGGGAACTGTATGCTTCACAGGAATTGACTGATGGTCATTTGATATATCACTCTTGAAGAACTGCCTTATTCTAACTGGAAGTACTGGATCTGCAACTTCCGATGTAGCCTGTTGAAAAATAAAAAGCATTACAAGCTAATATGGACATACATTCCATATTTTTAATATAAAAAGAAATTAAGATTGACATTTAATCTATTTATTTAATACAAAACAGAAATATCATCAAGCAATAGTTTGCATCAGTACAAATGAAGGCAATAAAATAAGCGAAAAATAGCCAGGAGACGGACGCTTTAAGCAATGTACATTAAAATTTTCCATGCTTTTATCTTGTGACAGTAAATTGTTATTATTTTTTGGAAGACAGTTATTATAGACTGTAGCTTCTTTCTCCTCTTCCCATTCCCAAAAATATCCCAAGAGGGACCATTTCATCACAAAATGCCCCCAAAATGTTTTGTTCCAATTTTCTATTATTTGAAAAAAAAAAAAAAAAAAAGAGAGATTGCTCCTATAAAATGGTGAAAATATGGTTGACAAGAAGTTACTAAGAACTTACTATCAGGGTTAAGGAAAAAAAGAGAAGCAGAGCATCCATCCCTGTTTCAATAGAACCATAAAATAATGTGGTTCTTATATAGATTCGTACTCAGATGTTTCCAGGAAAAACTAGCTGTGTTTTCCCATCTGACTGACTTGTCAGCTACCACTTCATCCAAATGCCATTTTTGAGCAACAAGTGAAGCAACTCGCCAAATCAAACTCACAGCCACATAAACTTGTCTATTTATTTATTTTGGTTATACAAGGGCAAAAGCCCAAAAGAAGAGAAAGGGAAAGCACACACACGAACACACAACGCAAAATTAAACTAGGCAAACCCTAGAACTGGTAACACTTTAACATCTTGAAAGAGCAGCTCTTAAAGGCCTGAATAGGCCTGATTAGACAACTGCAACCCAGTTGGTGTAGTACATATAAATTAGCCAAAAATCACAGAAGCTAGCTTCTGTACAGAAATCTCACACTCTATCTATCAAGTCTCTTCACATAAATAATATTTCATTTCGAATTAAAGATGAAATTCAATGCTGACCTTTTAAGCAAGACTTTTCAATTGGCCATCATCCAGAGAGGACTTTAAAATACATATATAAACAGTGGAAAATTGAAACCTTGAGCTTTTAGCGTGAAATAAATTATGAGAAAGATCCAAATATAAAATAGCCATAAGATTTGCAACTGTATTCTTTAGGACATAAGATATCAAAAGGATTAAGATTATTAGGATTAAAGCACGCCTTTGCCAGCAAAAAAGTGGCAGAGTCAAAACCCTGAAAGCAGCTACATGCTACATCACAACTAAAGCTGTGATTAAAAGATATTTAAGAAAAACAAACAAACAAAAGAAAAAGGGGAAAAAAAAGCCTACCAGGATCATCAAGGATGTAGAGACACATATAGATTCCACCTGCTCAACAAATAAGTTCCAGGCATGTGAAGCGCTACATGCAACACCAGGGCACTCGCCCATGTCTTCTGATTTGCATTGCTGTGAAGTGGACCCACTTCCCTCTTCAACAGCTTGACTGTGTACAAAATACGACTTTTCATTTTCAGGAAGTTGATGGTCTGATAAATCAGAATCACTCTCCTCTGTCACTTGAAGAGGTGTCTCCACAGCCCACAAGTCAATTCTTGGCATGAAAACTACACATGGCCCAACACTGGCACATTTCACTGCAATAGAAAATAAAAACTGCTCTTAATATTTAAAATTTAATTGTATTTAACTACTGTTTAACTGTAAACTTCAACTGGATTTATATTTCTTTCTCACATGTATCACCACATCATTTCCTAGTTTTTCCTATGGCTTTTACCTACACTCAACTCGAAATATTTCATCAAGATAAGAACATCTCAAATCATTGTTGTGTCGGTGACATATTCAATGAATTGGTTGCTATACCACAACTGTATTAAATTGAAAGGAAAAAAGAATATTACCAGGTTCAATGTCTGTTTTGACAAGTCATGATGGTGCCTTTAGCAGTACAAATTATCTACTGCTTATATTATTAAACTCAGGAGTGGTGTTGGTAAATGTTAGAAGATATAAGGGTAAATCTACATTTTGTTATTCAAACATAGGAGAAATCAAGAAGTTGGAAATACACAGCTTGCTAATCTAGGAACCTTCATTACTGGTGGGGCAAAGCTGCATCACATTTGAAAACTTTTGTCCAATGTAGCCGTATGAAGTGCATGGACAGGAGAAGTAATGAATGGAAAAAGTATGCGGCATCATACATGAAAAGAAGCATCCATGTACGACTATGCTTTCCAGACATGGTCATCTTCCCACAGGCCCACACTGAACTTCTAAATCACTTCAGCTAGACCAACACCTCAAATATTGAGGGATCTTATGATACATTAGGCCAAAAACTACCTAGCATCAAAGAATTAGTGGAAATGTTGGAAAAACTGTCTAGGACACGTAGAAATGCATTTAAAAGATAGGCAGATGATCCTGGAACAGTAATCTCCCTTCCAAGGATAAAAGACAAAAAATGAATCACTGAAAGTTCAAACCATGAACATTTCAAGTCAATTAAATATTGTCATACTATTCCAGCTTGGTAAGAGAACTCAGAGTAGCACAACTATTGAGCTTCAAGCATTATAATGCGATATGCTACCAACACCATGTAGCTTAAATTATCTATGCTAACAACAAAGAAACAATATAAAATACCAGATAACCAAGAGGAACATACTTAATATCTGTGTTATCCCTTGCACCATATCTCCATGCCCTTCTTGTAAAACTGTAGCCAAATCAACCTTCTGAACTTCTACATTCCCAACAAAACAGTGAAGAAGGCAAGAAGCAAGATGCCTTTGGCCAGATCTGGGACTTCCAGCAATCAATATTCGAAATCCTGATTTGTTTGTTGAGGCAACTGATATGTTTTGCAACAAACTAGGGCGTGCACCACCTTGGTGTTTAACTGAAGAAAACTTCAAAATGTTGTCATCGTCATCATCACTAAAAGCATCAGAATTAGCAAAAGTATCATCTCCAAGTAAAATGCCAGTGTGCAGAAGCTTTCTCTCTATGTCCTTCACAACATCTGCTTCCTGAAGTAAGATATCAATATGGGACCACCAACGATCACTGGACATCTTCTTCTTATTCAAAGCCGAAACCATCACACTTTTAATCATTCTTGCAGCTTTCCTGAGAGGAGCCGGCAACCAGAGCCGTTCATCAAGATATAGGGAAACAAGCATAGTAGATAATGGTTGTAGCAGACATGGAATAAGGTGTGTAGGAAGAGGAGAGCATACAACATCATTAGCAGCTATTCCTGCTTCTCTACGAGAGCAGGGAGGCGGAGAACATGTCAGAGCCTCCAACCAGTCCCTGTCCTCCACTGCAAAGGCAGGAAGAGGGAGGCGTTTATGGTCAGAAGCTTTCTTTCCAGCAGCAGACAAAACTTCTTGCAGAGGGAAATTCCTCTTCAAGGACATGATGGCTGCTTGAGTACAAAGTGCTTGCAGATCTGCACCAGCAAATCCAGCAGTTCTTCTTGCAACCAATTTGAGAATGGATCCAGCAACTGGTTTTGGCCACTTTCGAGTGTGTAGCGAAAGAATGGCAGCTCTGTCCTCAACTGACGGCAGTGGAAAATAGATTTCCCTATCAAATCTTCCAGGCCGCCTTAATGCTGGATCAACAGCATCAGGACGATTTGTAGCACCAATAACTACAACAGAACCTCGAGATTTCAGACCGTCCATTAAAGCAAGCAGCGTTGACACAACCGAACTATGTGTCTGATCTTGTTGCCTTGTCCGGCAAGGTGCCAACCCATCTATCTCGTCAAAGAATATTATAGAAGGCTGACATCTCTCAGCAACCTGAAACAAGAGTCTTAGCTGGCGCTCAGCATCACCAACGTATTTTCCTAGACAATCTGCACCTTTGCGAGCAAAATATGCTATCCGTTTATCACCACGCGCACACGCACCTATTAATGCCCGGACAACAAGAGTTTTACCTGTTCCAGGATACCCATGCAAAAGAACACCTCTAGGAGGTGTGAGACCAAGACTATCAAAGAACTCTGGATATAAAAGAGGCAATATGACAACTTCCTTCATACATCGAATGACATCTTGAAGACCTGCAACAGATTCCCAACCCTGAAATAGTTTTCCACTCTCAGAGTTGGAGCCTCCAATGTACACGGGTGCAATTCTTACCAAATCCCGATGAAGCCTCTTGCTTTCACGTTTCAAAAACTCTTCATCCTCACCACAATTCTCCAACCATTTTTCTTCTGCCTCAATATCCTTCCGCCAAGCATCATTTGAAAGTTTCCTTATTTCCATCTTCATTTTCTTAGCCTTCAATTTCTTTATACGGGCTAAATATTGATTCCCCATAGGTTGGAAGAGATTCCGATGATCAGTGCAGGCGATCAGAAATTTTCGATGATCAAATACGCAACCATAAGCTCGTGCACAAGGCTGCAAAACACAGAATGCCATAAGCCGTAAAATATATGTAATTGGAATAAATATTATGTTTACGTGTGTGTGGGTTGTCTGTTGACAACAAACCAGGTATAGCACATAAATTCGTATTATAAATTGATAATTTTCCTAATATGAGAGCTAAATAACAAACCAAGTGGTAAGTTCGTGGACACCGATCAACACGGCACCCAATTGTGGCTCCTGGCCTTCCACAGCGGGTGCATTTTAATGCTCTCCCTCTGCATAGGGCAGCCCGTACATTCTTTAAGCATCCTAAACCAGCAAAATAAACCTGCAAACATATATCACATGTATGGAGATTTATTGGAACATGAGTTGACTGAAATAGCTAAACACAAATGAAAAATGCAGATTCTAACACACAGTAGCAGATCTATCAAGCAGGTTAAAGTTCAAAATATAAATAAATAAATAATTGCACGTATAGACAAAAGTTTTTGATGATCAAGCAAAAAAGATTGTTGCTTACTTCCTAATTACGTGTTCCATCACAGGGCAAGACAGAGATGGTAAAATGTAGATCCCTAATAATCTGATAAAAGCACAGCATCAGTTAACATTCATGCAAAGAAAAGAATCTTCTAGATCACCAAGAGCAGAGAGCTAACAAACCCAGATTAACCAGCCACTATTTTCAACAGAATAAGTTAAGAGAAGGCTACTGCAAAAAAGCTACAAATCAAAGAACTTAACTTAGAGTAATAGAGTGGGGAAATTTTTTTGACTGTAATTTCAGGAAGATAATTGGGATTATCCAAATATAAACCGAGGGTCAGTGTCTTTAAAACTTCAAAATAATATTTAACTAAGGACAATCCAGCCTGTAGAGGTTACTAGAAGTTATGTTAGAAGCAAATGGGTGACCATATAGCTTCCTAGTGCAGTATGCAAACTCTTCTTCATTGGAAGGCTCTCGCCTTTGATATACTTATCATGCAAATAAGGTCCAATACTTTAAGACCGATCACTCAGCCGAATACCATGTCTTAAAACTCTTTATAATGATAACTCAAAACTCATGTTGATGAGGTGTTAACTTTTCTAGCATAATCCTCATATGGCATTACAGATATACCATAGGTTGATGTCATTGTCGTAATACAGTAAAAAAAACATTAAATGCAATGGTGTTGTTATAATTAAAGCATCTATGAAAACATAATGTTAAGATGTGACCAAGAAGAAGATAGCATGGAAAAGTGGAATTGATCCATACAGGGCCAACTTTAAAGTTTATCTTCCGTGATACCATTCAGGGACAACTTTTTGGTGGAAGGAGCACTAAAAATTTTGCAACCAAAACAATAATCTTGAATTGTTAAAAGATGAGATTATCCTGTTCGTAATCTCATTACCAACCTCAGAAGCCAACCAGTACTGATAGCAAGTGGTACCAACATGTTCATAAAGCTTGAGATCTTAAAATCTAAAATACAGATAGTACCATGATGTAAAGCACAAAATGTTTAAAAGTCAATCGAGAAACCACACCTCTGGACTCCACACAGCACAGTGTTGATGGACCCATATTCCAGCAATACCATAACGATCATTTATAGGACCCAAGAGACGTCCAAGCCAGCCAGGTTCATCACCAAAGCCATCCCATATGTTATAGTTAGGTTCCTCAGAGGCTGAAGAGCCACTATATGCCTCATTCTCGCTCTCACCTGTCTCCTGAACTAATTTTTTTGGAGGCATACCATCAGTCCCTCCCCCGCACAAACCACACCGTCTACCCTCCTTAATGCGTGGCTTGCCAAGTGTATCGCATTTCATACCTTTCAACTTATCCACCTTCACATTGTTCACTTCTATTGCAAGATTTTCATCAAGCTTGGCCAAATCCGAATCATTCCCTTCATGACAGCCTGCAACTTCCACTTCATTTCTTGAAACTCCAACAGCTTCTGACATGGCATTACTTTGATTTTCTCCTTCAATCACGCACCCTAATTGTTCCACCTGATTACCATTATTTTCTTCTTGAACCGCACACACTGATTGCTCCACCTGTTCATCAGCATGTTCCATGGTCTCCACATTGTCCATAATTTCCACATTCTCATTGCCAATGCACCCCTTCTCTAATTGTAAATTCTCCCCTGCCTCAATTATTTTTGTGGAATCACCCTTCACAGTTTCCCCTTGAACCCCACCATCAAGTTCGCTATCCAATTGCAGAGAAACATCTTCATCCTTCCTCATCACTTCCACTTCTTCCTCCACAAGTTCATCTTTGATCACAGGCAACTCATTCTCTTTCTTTTCATGCTCTAAACTATTTGTTGCTCTAATCCTCCCTGGTCTATTCGATTTGACAATCCTAGGCCTCCCACCTTCCAATCCCCCATTCTTATCATTTGATTCAGTGCTCACCATATTCTCTTCACTTCTGCCTCCACCCGTCTCTTCAAAAAGCTTCCTTTTTCCTTTTACCACTGAACCCGCATTTCTACCCCTTGATCTCAACCTCGATCTCCAACTTCCCGGCGTGTCGAAATCCTCCTCCTTCACACTCTTCTCAGCACTCAATATTACATTCTTCTCAATCCTCTGCCGCTTCTTTGGTGGTGCAGGAGAGACATCGAGCATAACTGGGGCCCGCCGAGCCCTGGAGCTCCGGCGCAGCTCCAGTTCACCACTCCCGGAGCTCCCTGGCCCCGGCCCCGCCCCACCATTACCCCCAATCACTTCAACATGGTTTCTCTTATACTCCTTCTCACATATAGCATCAAGCCTCTTGTGCTTCTTCCGAGGCCGAGGCCCCGACCGATTAGAAGCCTTACTTTGCTTTGACGATAATCGCATGACAAGAAGCACACAAGAATCCTATACAAATTTCTCTATGCGAGCCTATGTGTGTGCAGGTGTGATTATATGCAAAAATAACCTGAGGCTTTGGGCAAATGGGTAGTGAGGGATCGCTTTCTTTGTCCAATTGGGCGCCCGATTCAGCTCAGATTCATGAAAGAGAACCTGTATTGAAGCAGAGCTGAAGGACTCACAGGGTCATAGCTGAGTCGATCGGTTCCCCATGGAAAAACAAAAAAGGAGAAATTCAAGAAAGAAATAGAAACCCTAGAAATGAATATGGGGAAGCATATTTAAGCTTCTTTCAGCTGTTGAGATTTTGGGTTTGCTCCGTGAAGATTGGGTCTTCTGGGTTTGGTTTTGGAGACTCTGTCCCCTCTGAAGCTCTCTCCTTTTTCTATCCCTCTGAAATTTCTCTGTTTGCTGTTAAAGTTATAGAGAGACTAGGGCGAGAGGAGAAGAGCTCCACATTGTTTTCATTTATTTTTATTTTTTTTTAACTTATCCCAAGCGCACTCATAGCGCGTGCAGTCAAACTCTGATAATCAAGATAGATGAGATTTTTTTTTATATGAATAGTATAAACTGCTCTAAATTAATTAATTTATAAAGAAGACGATTCAAACTTAAGTCCAACGGGGTGAAATCACTGTTCTTACAATTGGCTTAACACACATTTGGGAGTCTTTTTAAATCAGTGAAGCACATGCAACACATAGTTTGATTTTCATTAGGGCATGGATTTGGGGAATTTGGGAATTTGGTAGGATTTAAATTGGTTGGTTTTTTGGAAGGTTGAGTGCACGCGCGTGGGGAAGGCGTGGGGGTGCATTATCTGAAGAGTGCAATTTGGCTATTTTGCTCCAAGTTTTATTTTGGTGCTTGTTGTTGCCGCCAAATGTGTTGGTTTCTAATTTATTTTTTCCAAAACACAAAGGGATGGGAGGGTGGTGGGTTTTGGAATAAGCATATTGGGGTTTCAATTCAAAGAAGGGATCACAACGGCTCTTTTTTAGTGCCCAAATCTTGCATGGGAGATGATGCTTTCATGTGGGGCTTTACTTTGTGTTGGCATGGCTGCACTTGTAGGAAATAGAGATTCACCCTTTGTAACTTTTATTTGGTAAATAATAATAAAAAAAATTCGGATATATCTTGAGCCAAAATCTTGTTCAGATAACTCTGAAATAACACTAAAATCATGAACTTTTTTTTATATCAAAACACCAAATATGTGAACTTTTCCTTGTTTTTTCAACGTATGTAATATTGGGTTTGTGTCTAAATTAATGCCTGAAAAACAGCTTAGTCTGAAGATTTGGCATAATATTAGCACATAAAACATGAAGAAAGAATCCAAACTCAAGATCACCAAGACCAAATATGATCTTCTATTGATATTTTGATAATAATGGTTTAAGCATGTGATTTTAAGATTTAGCATTTAGCATTTAAGAGTTAGGGTTTATATCACATTATGATGACATTGTTTCGACCTAAAGCAGAAAATTACCCTGGTATTTAATTCCAACATATAAAAACCTGGGGAAAAAAAAAACTAAAAGAAGTAAAAATTTGGGTGAGTAGAAGTGGGCTGAGATGGCTCATTACACAACTAAACCTAAAACAAAATTAAAGCCTCAATAGGATGGAGGCAAATTCCTTGGTATAGTAACAAGAGATGCGACCGTCCTGGATGAAGTCTCCTCAGAGTTTCATATCACCACAAAATCAAGCCAAAGTCTTATCTCCAAGGGTAGAGCAGTCAGCTGAGAAATAAAGAGAAAGACTACAAGGGCTACAGCAGTCAGCTGAGACTTTAGAATTAATAGCCAAAAAGGTCTCAGATATGACTTCCTGGATGATTGATACATGAGGTTTTCCGTACATTTGGTATGAAAGAGAGAGAGAGAGAGAGAGAGAGAGAGAGTGTGTGCCTTGAGCTGAAGAGCTGAAATATTTTGTTTCTTACAGCTAAGTTAACAATTTTTTAATAAATCCAACTAGAATCAGCTACCTTATTCTGTTCTTGAATAGAAATTCAACCTTCTCAGGAGAATCAGAATTCCTCCTTGCGGTAATTTGTATAAGTGCACCATCCGCAAGCATGTGTTGCACTACCCTTGCTATGTTCTTTGAGTCATCAAATCCAAGATGGTGACTTCCCAACAATGGTAAATGAAGCTCCTTCATCATTGTCATCATTCCTGTTGCCTGCAATCCATAACGAAACAAATATCTTAATTTTGTGTTAGAATTTATAGTTCGGTATTTGGATCTGAAGTTTTGGTGTAAACTTGTTAATGAGAATTTTATGTTAATAAAGTCCACATGTGAATTTGGCTTGATTTCAAATACTCAAAAGGAAAAAGTGTTATTTCGAATTACTCTATAAATCACTTCAATATAGCGTTCTCTTCGCAATCCAAAACAAAAACAAAAACAAAAAGCTTTCTTTTATGTTTTTTAACATTTAGCAAAAACAGTTTAGACTAGGTAAGCAAATCTGAATCCCTCATTTTAATCCACGTATCCAAATGCAATCTAAAAGAATTCAACACAGAGAAACAGCCTAATAAATCATGAAAAGTAGAGGTGCACTCTGGTCCAGCCCAAAGAATAACCTGAATTAACCTGACAAAGAGTTTGTTGGATGTTTGGCATCAGATTGTGGATCTAAGTTGATGCAAGCCTATTTGATGTATCATTTAATTTCATAGGATTATGCTTGATCATGCTGTTAACTGAAAATACATGATTTGGTAAAGCACTGGAACTGACAGATTTGGTCAAGGCTGTATCTGATACATGGTGGAGATTACCTTGTATTTCATACCAGTTAACCATAACCATAAGGAATACCTTATGTTCAAACAAACGGGAAACTTAAGATAATAAGCCATACAATCCAGAATGCATTTGTAGCATGCATCAATGACGAAGATGTTTAACATTGAATTGAACCTGTTGTTTCATTGAAGTTTGGAACCATTGAGTTCTACTCTGATTCTTTGAACTTTTAGGTTTATTCATATTTAACATCATCAGACCAACCGCATCCAACATCACGTCAATTGCACCAGAAGAGAGTAGATTACCAACATATTTTGGTCAAACCATTCATTCTTAGTTCCATAATTGGCATATCATGAGCAAAAGGCAGGTGATGTTTTCTTAAGCATTAAAGAATAAATAGTTTGAACTTTACCCTCCTCTTGTAAAAATTTAGATAGACATCTTTGAGATTGATCCATTCCATAAAATATGACGGAAGCTTCATCCTTGACACTTTGCATTGCTCAGGAACTTTTGTTTTCAAATCCCAGTTTCCACTGATACAAGTTTAATAATACATCAGCAAAATCCAGAAGTTGGTGATGCTTCACCTCAATTGAATATCGTAAGAGAATATTTTGTCAGCATTTTTTAAGCAGATATCACGGAGTAATTAAGCGATGACTTTTGACTAAAACTTGAAGGTATTTACATCCAGTGGTTCCACTATGAAGTTTACCGGAAAACAATAATTTTATCCTGAATAGTGAGACTAGTGAAGTGTTATTAGCATCATTTACAGTTTGAAGCAAAAGCAGAAAGTGGAAAGGTTTGATATCACAGGACTAGTGAAGTGTTAGGCCAAATATTCATTCCTGAATAGTGAGACTTACCAAGTTACAAATGCTGCTCGATTAAGGCACCCACCCAACTTTTCTCCCCATAATTGATGCTGAATTAGCCAGGCTTCAAATTGTTGAAGAACATCCTTAAATGGTATAGCTGTATCATGCCAAACACTGCAAATTATATAAGTCATATTGATGTCCCACTATCAGCATAAAGAAAAAATATTACAAATGTAATTTGCTAAAATTATCACAATCTGACTTTTCTTTATTAGTATTAGAAACTAACATATGGAATAGCGTTCAATCTAACACTGCAAATTATTGTTTATAGTCAACTCTCTATCACAGAACAACTCTTGTCAATTACTATCATTGTTTCTCCAGTATAAATCAAACCACTCTCTTTGAAAGTTATTCTCTTCACTACATCCTTCTTGGCTTTTCAACCCCAACACTCATCCCAAGCAATCAGCAGTCTCCAGATCTCGAAACTTCATCTCTACGTATTTAAGGCCATCTAGAACCGCAAAATTGTTCATTCTGACTAGGTCCATTTTGGTGTCTTTCCAGTAGCAGAAGTTGTCTACTAATTTACTGATACCTTTTTTTTTTTGGGTACCAGGTCTTTCAGTTTCACATCATTCCCTTTCTAGTTTACATCAGCTGACATCAGCTCTGTAATTGCATCAGACCGGAACAATTTTCATTAGCTACTAACTACTGTGAACCACAAATTGAATGCATACACTTGACAACAAAATTCTATCATAGAAAACATATGTGATATATGACAAATAAATATCTCCGTGTAACCAAATTAAAACATTTTTGCCTTCATTTAGCGTTGCTACCCTGCTTTCTAAATTTGCTTGCATAACTCGATCTATTAGGGTCTTAAATACAAATGAAATTTATTTTTTTAATCTGCCAATAATAATGGGAAACATGTTAAGCACAAGTTCTGTGTGGTCAAATCTGAATTACTGGCATACCGATCAACTCCAAATTTGCCATACTTTCCTGCAATATATTCATTTATTCTTTTCTCACTCATCTCAGATGGCCTCACGAATCTGCAAAAGAATAATGGAAAAGTTAGACAACAAAACTAGCCAGTTCTGGATATCATACTTTTAAGATGAAATCATTTTTTTTATTAATTGAACACCATGAGAAGGCAGGAATAGTAACGGATGCCCCTTTAATTGTCTGAATGGTGCTCCTTTACAGGTACACCAGACAGAATCAGTGTTCCCTTGACAACATGACCAATACTGTTAATAGAAGCATGAAGAATGTACTAGAGTAGGTCTTGCTAATAAATGGGGAAGAAATAAGCAATTGGTGGTTTAAATCGCAGACTCTTCTGTAAAATGAATACTAGTGATCGTCATCTGTTTTGCCCTGATGTGGCTGTTAGTAGTTGCTTACTCTGATTAAGAGATGGTAAACAGTAATCGTTGTAAGAAAACATGAAGGCGCAAAAGTTCATTTTACTTTTTGTTTGACATTTTACGAAACTTTTGCAACAATAGAGATGAGAAAAATTTATAACAATAATGGTGGTGCTAGTAGTAGTAGTAGTAGTAAGCTCCAGCCTTCCAATAGAAAATAAATTATTAGCAGGAAAGGCATATTAGTAATTGCATTGCACTAAAATCCATTGAGGAGGTGCAGTAAAACCTGTGGAAAAAATCCACGACATCCATGGTATTTGCATCAATCATCAGAACAGGAAACTCAAGAATTTCAATTTTTCCCTCCAAATCAAGCACAAGAAAATAATCTAAGTTCTGAGAGCAGATGCGGTTTGACATGTAATTTGTCACTTGAAGATCTCTGGAGCAATCATGATTGAATTTCTCCAAGTGGGTAGGATCCTCCATCTTCAAAACAAAGTAACTCTAATTAGATTACAAGTGTTCACACAGTAACATGAATAGGAAAGCAGGACAAAATGATATATACACTAACAACCATTTATATATATCTACAGAGAGATGACAACATTCAAACTATAATTTCAGCAGGTCCCCAAACTCTGATTCAACTCACACAGAAAAAAGGTAAGAAATTCAAACAGCATCATAAATTATCACTCACTTTGTCTGAGGCATTCAATCAAACAGATGGAATGCAAGACAATACGCTACTGAACACCAATGCAAACACTTTCCGAAAACATCTCAACAATAAGATAACTAGACAAACTGCTGCCTACAACAAAATCATGAGTGTACTTGGATTGTGGGAAAAGAGTTTAAGGCTGTAAGGCGTTGGTGGTCTGAAGCTAGACATACCATAGTGCATTTCCCTTGCGTGTAATACAAACACATGGGCTTCCATGGTTGGCTGCTCTTTCTCGGATACGATGGGACCGAAGGAGCTGATGGGTCGTGATGGGTTTGGGAAGCAGAGAGAGAGGCAAAGGGAATGAGGAGGGAACGCATTGGAGGAGGGAGGGGGTGAGGAATGGGAAGGAAGGGTTTGAGAGTTATTGAGAAGAGTGAAGGAATCATTGGCAGAGTGGTAAGTCTGGCTCTGGCAAATGCCATGGCTGCTTTGTCTTTGTGTCTACGTCGCTCTGTGTTTCGGGTTTTGCTCAACGGCCTCTTGGCGGGTAATCGTGAAATGAAATTATGCAAGGAAAGACCAGTCAGTCAAGCGTGAACCAGTCGGTTCAAATATGAACCGATAATCCGAATAAATAAATTAATTAAAGTGTGTTTTTCCTTTATTGAGAATAAAAATAACTTAACTTTATAATTTTTTTTAAAAATAATTGTGTGAAAAAATGTAGGCCTATCCAAATTTCTTGCCAATAATTTATGCTCAAGTTAATTTTTGTAGAAGTAACTTGATTTACGCTACAACGAGCTGTTAATCTAATAGTACTTCTTTTCCTAATGTTGCAAACTTAACAAGAAGATTGCTTCTTTCTTTTTCTCTGGAGTAGCCAAGCAATGGCTGTAATAATTTTTTTTTTAATTTATCTGCATATTTTCAAGATATATCTAACTTCGTATATAAGAGAAAGGCAAATCGAACTCAAAATGAGAAAAATGTCGTTAACAGTGAAGTTGCCTCTCGATATTTATTTTTTTTACCCCAACGTTAGATATGAATACAAGGAACTTGAAGAGGGTTCGAATTCGCTACCGGAACTGCTTTCAACTACTACATATGCAAAACCATAAAACCCGGACTCTCTGTACAACACCATTCTAGGGAAGGCACATAGCAAGGAACTACAAGCATGTCAAAATAGGCAGCTCAAAGGCTGTGTGCAGACTTTCCAAATCCTGAAATCATCGATCACTCTTCATCAAGCTCAGTAAAATCCTCTATGACATCAGTCATGACAGTGTGTTCCTTCATTGCACGCAATTCATCAATTTCGACGAGTAACAACGGATCACACACCACTTTATCTGCCTGCAATAGCTTAGGGCAAGCTGACAGGAGGAAAAATGCCCAAGGGTGAAGCTAGTTCATCATGTATAAGTTCACTGCAACAGGGCATCGTGTGTTCTTTGAGCGTAAGTAATGCATGATTGACCCTTTGTCATAAACATGCTTGCATACGACACTGCATTTGGGGAAGAAATACACCAATAAAAGATTTTAAATTGGAAAGGTTAACGAAAATATGTACTATCAGCAAAGATTATGTAAGTAGAGATTCAAAACGGATCTGCACACTGAAAAGCCTAGACAAACATAGAATCAATATTCAATGCTGGAATTCCTATGCCACAACAAAATTCGGTGAAGACCATACATTCAAATTCTCCCAACAAAGAGAAAAAAAGAATTTTGAAGTAACTCATACAGCACCTGCGAACTGGATGCTGCAGTTCAGTGATAGGCTTTCCACTTAATGGGCAGGTGACATTCAGAATATTGCATTGGTTGCTGGTCATTACAATGTCCTCCTGCTCTTCACCTGGCATAGGCTCTCCTGCATGATGAACATTCTGCAGGAAAGTATAAAGAACATCGACATTTCAGAAAGAAAACGTGAACCTAGCAATACGACGAAAAGCTAAGCAAATTGATTATGCTCCAAGGACAAAGGACTGTGTCAGCTTTAAGAGATGTGAGTCGGTATAGCCCGCCCACAATTCACATTGTTGTGTGTAGGGGCAGGGGAGGGCGCAAATTTACTGATAAAACTATGCTAGACCAAAAAATATGCCTAACAAACAAAATAATATGAAGAAATAATACTTAATTCTTTGCCTAAATTTATTTACCATTGTTTTCAATCCTAATTACTTTCATATCAGCATTTACCTAGAATGCAGCAAAACCCACAAAGGTTAAGTAACCACTTACAACAGTCTAAGAACTGATGATCATTAGCTACAGGAGGACTTAATCAGAAAAATACTTGCTCAGTTTCACGAAAGTGTATAACCTTTGAACTATATACATATAGAATATTAAGCATTCCCTTCAATTATAGAAATAAAATAATTACACAAACTATTACAAGGCCAGGCAGAAAAAAGTGCTTTTAACAATTGTTGGCATCTTTCTAGCTGAATTCTCCTGTCCTAAAATAGTTGACGAAAGGTTATTACAAAAAATTGAATTGAAATGTAATGACATTAACTAATCCATCATACTTGCATTAACATTGTCTCAGCATTGTTAAACGCCATTGAAACTTTCAAAATCTTATTTTGTCCATTTAAAAATAAGGGAAGGTCATACCCAGACAGCTTCCCGGAATTGGCGCATCAAAGGATGGTTTTGTGGATCTGAAGATGAATTAGCCTTGAGCATTGCAACCTCATTCTTGAACAACTGATCAAAATCAGTAAGCTGGCTTCGAAGATAATAAACTCGCATCAGCTTGGATGGATTACAGAAATAACAAATATATAAGTAAGTCAAGATCGGGACAACAATAAGCAAAGTCGTTGAATGAGAAACTGTGCATGAAGAAGAAAATTCCAAGCACCTGTGGCCCAGGTTGGTATTTCTCTCCAACAGATTGAATTGTGGATGAAAAATGCGAACAGTCTTCATGAGTACCCAACAATTCAATAACAGCATTTTCAAGCTCCTTTACCTGTTCAATATTCGGGGTTTTCATATCTTGAGAAATGATCCTTTATTGCATCTATGATAACATTTTAATTACAGTTAATATTCCATCCTATCTGCAATTTCTAGCTAAAACACAGGATCCAAATGGCATTACATCAGATAGAGTATCTCAGCAGCTACAGTTTAACAAGAAAACACCCCAATTAGCTAAGGGTTAAGTAACACCTACAAAGTTCATGCTGGTAACTATCAGCCGTATTTATGAACATTTCGGCATACAAAGGTTACTATTTATAATCGAGAAAATGTTGATAGAGTGCCTAACAACAACTGTCAGGCACAAAAAATAGACTAACATGAACTAGTATACGAATCAACAATGTTCCATTTGGCTGATTCTCAAATAATCCAAAACTCCGGTGATTGTTAATGTACATTTTATTAAAAACCAAACAGAGCTTAAGACTATTTATAAAGAATTTAAATAAATAAATAAAATAAATTACCCTCTCAAACTGATTATCTCTCTCCAAATCAACTGCAATTTCCTTCATTGCACCCACAGCTCTACGAATATCCTGAAACCAAATAGTCTTCCATAATAACAAGAAGAAAAACCCTAGTTTCTTCTAATTGCTCTTTTTTCAACCAAAGAGAAAATGAAAATATGACAAAATGTTTGATTTATTATAAATAACGGCTTACAGAGATAAGAGACTGGTTGTCCTCGTAGAGAGTGGCTGTGGCGGTTCGGATCCGGCCCGTGGCGCCATGAGTTCGAGAAGCGGAGGTCGAGGCCATGGAGGTCTTTGGGTTCTAGGGTTTCCGACAACCGGGTTTGGGCCGAACCGGTTGGCTGATTGGCGGGTTCTTCGCTGGTGAGTGAGGGCAACAGTACTCTCAAAAACAGATATGTGAGGAATTTTGGAGGGAGATTGAGGGTAGAAAGAACAAAAACG